TGACTACGATTTTGTCATCAAAATTTGGTCATATGTACAAGTTTCGGCTACTCGAAAATCTTTATCAGGTTTAGAGAAACATCGAGAGGTACTGACAGGGAAAATTTTAATCTCCCGCCATGTTATTCCAGTATCGAGCACCGACTGCCTTTCAATATCCCTTCGCGTTTCTGTGACCCTGATAGCAAATCATCACTACGATTTTGCCATCAAAATTTGGTCGGATGTACAGGTTTCGGCTACTGACAGGAAAAATTTGAATCTCCCGCCATGTTATTCCAGTGTCAGGAGCAAAACGATTTTCAATATCGCTTCGCGTTTCTGTGACCCTGACAGCAAATCTTCACTACGATTTTGTTAAAATTTGGTCGGATGTACAGGTTTCGGCTACACGAAAATCCTTATCAGGATTGGAGAAACGTCGAGGGGTACTGACATAGAAAATTTGAATCTCCTGCCATGTTATTCCAGTATCGAGCATCAATATCTCTTCGCGTTTCTGCGATTCCGATAGCAAATTTCAACAAAAATCTTTTGACGATCTTTTCATGAAAATCTGAACGGATGTGAAGGTGTCAGCTACTTCAAAATCAGGATCGGGGAAACGTCGAGAGGTATTGGCAGACAAAATTGGAATCTCCCGTCATGCCATTCCAGTATTAGGAGCAGAATGCCTTCAATATCTCCTCGCGTTTTCGGGATCCTAATATCAAATTTTAACTACAAGTTCTTGACGATCTTGTCGAACGTGGATGTTTCGGCTACTTGAAAATCTGTATCAAGATTGGAGAGACATCGAGAGGTGTTAGCAGACAAAATCATAAACTAACACCATTCTAGTATCAGAGCAGAAAAGCTTTCGATATTTCCTTGCGTTTCTGTGATCTTGGTAGCGAATTTTAACCACTACTTTATAACTGCCCTACTGCTTAGGATCTGCTTGGATATATAGTTTTTGTTTAACTGTGGCTTCCCTTGATTGTTTTTAGAAAGATGCATTGTGAGCATGACTGTACCTGTTGCCCAACAAATGCGAGTCAATCTCTGGATGAGATGGATTTTGAAAGGGGCATATGGTATGTAGCACAACATGGAGACATACAGAACGTGCGTAAGCATTTAAATAGTGGAGATGTTGATCAAAGGTAAAAAGTCATTTATATTTTGCTTGTTAATTTCCATATGTAGTTAGAGTTAAGTAATGGCCGATATCTTCATTCTTAACAGAAATACATGCTTTGAAATTAGAAGGGACATCATCTTCGAGAATCAAATATCAGAGTTGTTTTTTGGCCTTATTAATTCTGCGGCCCAGCTGCAAAAGCGTCTATCTGAAAGTAGCCAACCATGAAGTAGTGTATTTCGGCGTTCAAAAAATTTTCAGAGATGGAATGAGATACCGTGACGTCATCTATGTCAATGTGTCAAGGCTATGTTTCTCCTCTCTGCGCAGAAATCTAGTTGAAAACGGTTAGAATATTTTAATCAATGTCAATACTTGATAAATAAAAATAGTTTATTTGAAGGCATACTGGGTATACTGCGCTACACTATGCAGCTAGAAACGGTCACTTGGATGTATGCAAACTTCTCATAGACAGTGGAGCCAATATTAATGCAGTGACCAATGGTGGCGTTACTGCTTTAAGTCGAGCAGCTTCAACAGGTAATACATAAAAATTCTAATGAATGGATAACCAATTAGTAAAAACAACGTAACTTACGAGGTTGTCTTTATTCAACTAACATTGATTAACATATATACATCCAAGAAGATGCATTATCCTATGATATATTCGGACGTTCACATACAATTTCCATCATCACAACCATGTTACCAGGTAGAATCGTCGTAATTTCTTTAGAAGTTAAAAAATCGACCCCGCTTTCCTTTTAAAAACAAGGAAATCCTATAATTTGTGGCAATGGCCCAAGAGTTGGCAATACTGACAAGTATTTAATATATAATAAAACGTCTTTATTGGTATACAAATGTATATCACATCTTATTCCTTATACTCAACCTACTATAATACTATAATAAAAATATCAGCAACTAAGGAGAATAGAATATTTCAACTTATAAACATTATGAAGCGAACACAAAAATTGTATAAATATGTATGAAAGACAAAGAAGATACTATGACATTCAACGACAATGAATGATGAAAAGCAAAATAAAAGAATATACTAAATCATTCTGTCAACGTAACGGTAACGATATAGAAGAAGCTTTTTGGCTTGTTTTTCATACTGTTTAACGGTAGAGTTTTCAAATGTCCACTTGCATCATTGTATATTTTCAGTTATAAATAGACGACCGACCGAAAAATGTAATACCTACTGTAAAGAGGGATTTCTAGCTGATTTTTCAATCTGAAGTTGAAATCAGTCCTACTACGGCGAAATAAAAACTTTTATAAAGTTAAGAAGGGGATTGTGTAGTTAATATTTTACGAGTAAGTTTGAGCATTTAATATTTGTAAGCATCATCCAAACGTAACCAGCCGAGCTTACTAATAGAACATGAAATATGATCATATTTCTTTAAACTAAAAACAAATCTATAAGTGTTTTAAAACCCAATATATAGTATAGAGGCATTTAAGAACAGTATGACCTTTTTTCAAAATATTAGCAACATGCTCGTTGAAACGTAAATATTAGTCCTAAATCCTTTGCTTTATCCACTACTGGAAGAGCTAATCCATCAATCTGTATATTTAAGGAATTTGTATATAGTTCGACGGAGACTATTAGAACAAAACAGTAGGAGATCACATTTATTTAATTTAAGAGTATTATCTTCAGGGTATCCAATGTCTTCAAGATTCGTATCATTTTCACATACTGCTATCACCCAGTGTAGACTCCAGGGCTAAAAGATGTACGTAGTCATGCCATAAGTTCTGTCCCTCGTTTTCAAACAAGTGTAGACCTGTTAATACTTGTCCGATTGTTTACATTGTGGTGTCAGTTGATTAAGCGCTTTTCGGGTAATTACATATACCTCAGTTTGTATTGATCTCTCGAAGCATAACGATGGAGTGGGGCAAGGCAGAGAACCGTATTGCAGTGATAGCTTTACATAAGTGTAATCACAGTGCTAGTCAGATTTTTGAACTCTTACGCGGCCTTCAAATATCGCGTAAATTTGTGTCTAGGACCATTCAGCGGTACAATGAGACGTCCTCTGTTGATGACAGGCCAAGAAGCGGAAGACCTCGTCAAGTAAGGACTCCAGCAGCCATCAAAGCCGTAAAAGCCAGGATTCAAAGGAATCCACTCCGGAAGCAGAAGATCCTATCCAGGGAAATGAAGATTCCTGTCCGGACGATGTCGCGCATCATTAAACAAGACCTAGGGCTAGGGGCTTACCGGAGACGTACGGGCCAGCGACTTACGGCCACCTTGCGACACATCAGGGCGACAAGATCCAAGAAGCTCTTGGAGAGGTACGCAGCTGGGGGATTCCGAAAGATTTTGTTCACGGATGAGAAAATCTTCACCATAGAAGAAAAATTCAACCGACAAAATGACAAAGTGTATGCAAGGAGTTCACAGGAAGCTTCGGAGATCATTCCGAGAGTTGAGAGAGGCCACCACCCTGCGTCAGTCATGGTTTGGTGGGGGGTGTCCTACGAAGGGGTCACTCAGCTCCATTTCTGTAAACAGGGCGTGAAAACAAAAGCGGCAAACTATCAGAGCGACATACTGGATCCTATCAAGCCTTTAAGTGGTACATTGTTTGCCAACCAACACTGGGTCTACCAGCAGGATTCCGCCCCCGCTCACAAGGCTAAGAGTACGCAGCGCTGGCTGGAAAGCAATGTGCCAGAGTTCATTGCTGCGGAAGATTGGCCCTCAGGGAGTCCGGACCTCAATCCTTTAGACTACAAGTTGTGGGACCTGCTAGAGCAGTTGGCCTGCTCCAAAGCCCACCGTAATATCGAGTCCCTGAAAGCGGATTTGATCCGATCAGCGGCAGCTATTCCTTTGGAAGCTGTGCGTGCAGTGATAGATGAGTGGCCCGCGAGATTGAAGCAGTGTGTGAAGGCCAAGGGGGGACATTTTGAATAAAACTGTTTGATTATGAATTCTTAAAATGTTGTCGAATAAATAATATCTTTCATATAAATATATCTTATCTTGTTTCATTTTTATCATGAGATTATCATGGGACAGAACTTATGGCACGACTATCTACAGTAAAAACAATATAGGGTCAAGTACTGAGCCTTGAGAAACAGCAGATGTAACAAGGGAAGAATTAGAATATTGATTTTCCAAGTGCGCAACTTACATTGTTAGATGTCACCGATTTAGGGAACATTTTAGACGTCCTGCTTTCTTGTTCTTTACATCATTGTTGTCCGGTTTACATTTAAAACCAGAAATGTTTAATCTTAAAGTGAGGATAATTGCATTTGTATTGTACTGCTGTTTTCTTTTCCTCATTTTATTTCAACGTACCATCAAGTTACTTGATGATCCATGAAATAAATATACTTTCTGAAATGAATTTAACATTTTGCTGGAACAAACCTATTTACATGCTGCCAAATCTGAGAACAGGAAACTTTCTAACCGAGTTAGGTGTCTTGTGGTGGAATATGTTAATCAATGCTAATACACATATTTAGGAGTAAGCTGAAAATACTGCATAAACAGTAAATTCTGTTTTGAATTGAATACTTCCAAAGAGATCTTACATCCAGTGACTAAAAGATATTTTCAGGTCACAAAGAGATAGTAGAATACCTCTTAGGTAAAAATGCTGATCCATTCATCCAAGATTCTGATGGTAAAACTGCACTTCATAAAGCAGCAGAAAATGGCCACCTCCATATTTGCAGGATATTACTGTCTGTTGCTGAAAAATTAAAGGATATCGAGGATAAAAGAGGGAATAGGCCAAATATCGATGTGTTATTGCTTCAACAGTTTACTGTATAAATATTTTTCTAATAAACATATCACAAAGTTTTTTTATAAATACTTATGACTAGAATATGTAACAATACCTAATATGAGATCAATTGTTTTGATTAAATCTAAAGGAGCAATATGAAGTGTTTCGAGCGTCAAAAATGAGAGAACAGAATAATCAGTAGAAAGGTCCTATTTATTACCTATCTGACCGCTTTTGACGTTTATCGAATAATTTTGTGGATGCGTTCATTGTCGGAAAAATAATGTGTTCCTAGGTTTATACGTAAAATCAGCTTTTTTACTGACTGTTCATATCTATCCATTTTTTGCTTCAATAATTTTCTTTAACATCACAGAACTTATTCACATCTTTTTACAAATTTTTATAATACTATTAGGATCCATATTACACTCTACATTCACCAATCCCCACGCCAGATGGACTTTTTATTAAATGAAATACGTTAAAAAATGTTGGTGACGGGCTGCTTTACGAAATCCTGGACGGACTATTTTTGATTAAAAACTGAAAGTTATCGGCATTTGGAATTGGTTGCGGATGCCAGACTTCCATCACTCTGTATATTGTGGCCCATAAGAAATATTGACGAAGTATCTGATATTTGGTTTGCCAACGCGTGACAATGAACTTAACGCGAATATCACACTATCGAGATTTACTCTAGAATGTGATTTATTGACTGTGGAAAGTGAATAAAAAAAAAAGTTCTGATAAATATGGGTCCAAAGCTGCTCCGCTGCCGAGATACAGGGTGATGAAGTTTTATTTAGGAAATTATGGAGCGGGTAAAGATACTGATTTAGGATTTTAGACGTTCACTAAGCACATCAACAGCAATAAACACACAGAGTTTCTTGGTATAAACTAAACCAACGACGTAGAAACTGGGGTATCTGGACCCCTAATATTAATATTATATGTTTAAACATATTCTACACCACTGGCTTTTTCGGAAAACAGCAGTGCATTTTATAAAATACCATTTTGTTCGTATCTAACGAAATTCCTGTCAGATCACTCGTTTTGGAGATATTTAGACTTGAACATTAGAGTTAAAATCCTAAAATATTCTCATGAGAAGGTTTATCCCCCTTATTCTGAAAACTAAAGCTCGATATTGGAAACACTATAAGACATGTGAACAAAGCTATGGCAGCTCATTACAACATGATTTGAATAATATGGGTGTCTTATCCTCAATCAGTAGCATAGAAGCTTACCGTTCATGAAACCTTGTCTATGCTCACCACTGGCTTTCATAGTATACTTCTCATGGTATTAGCCATCTTAAGTTCTTTTGCTTGTCTAAAAACACATCTTGAAATTGTGGAACCAATCAATTTGAGTAAGATTCTCATTATTTACTTCTGAAATTATCGGCCTTTAAGTTGTATCAAATGTAATGTTTATTATTGTCGTGTTCAATTCTTATTAGCTTTATTTATTTATTTTTAAAATGGGCGTTTTTTTGTTGAAGTTTGTCTATAAACAAAATTGAATATGCCAGCAAAAACTAGTGGCGTGCACAGGAAAGGTTTACTGAATAGTAAGTTTATACACTCCTAACAGAGGATATTACACGGATATTATTCAGATAGTGTTGTAATTAGGTTCCATAGTTTCCTTCACATGCCGTATAGTGTTTACAACGTAAGTATTTTCAGAATACGGGGGCTAACACGTTAGGATTTTACTTCAGATGTTCAAACCAAAATATCTCCAAAACGAGTGATGACAAAAATTTATTTTCTTGACCTTTTTCTTTCGAAATGACCAGTGGCGTAGATGTTTCCTATTAGGGGTCCAGGTAGTCCAATTTCTATATCCCTGGTTTAAACACTAAACGTCTAAAAGTAAGTATCTTTACCCACTCCATAGATATAATTTTTTTCAATTTCGTAAATAAAACTTCATCGCCCTGTATCTCGGCAGGGAAGCATCTTTGAACCCATATTTATAGGAACTTTTTTTTGTTATTTTTGGATGTACACACTGAATAGCATATAGCAACATTCGTAGGCGGACAGGTTAGGTTTATAGGCATAGTCAACTAGTTCGAAGCAGTGAAGGCAGTTTAAAGCAGTGGGTAAAAAAGTATTTCTATGTACGGATTTTCTAAGCTGTAAAATGCATACACCACTCGTCCAAGAATATTTTACACCTAAAGCATAAACTAGGAGAGCCTTAAATACTCCTAATGTGCGCCCATGGATTGTATGGTACACAGTAAATAAAGATCGTGCGACATTCACCTTAAAACTAAAGTTCAGGTTGACCGATGTACTTTTGACTGACTTGAGGTTTAAAATATCTAAAACGATGCTACCTAACGTTATATTTTTGCAACTCACTTCAGGTTTTGACTAAATTAATAAAGGAAACGTTGGCCGTGGAACAAAAAAACGACGCAATCACAGAAAATTACCCATCACTCTTTAATCAAAAATCGTCTGTTCAGGATTTATCAGACAACCTATTACTGACACTTTTTCAGCATATTTCACTTCATAAATACTTCTCGGGCTATTGATCGGATTCTGTACCATTAACACTTAATTACTCACATCTTTGTACAAACTACAAACAGTATCTACACTGATATTTTTACAATATTTCCAAAGCTATATATTTCTGTATTATCGGCGGCAGTGGCAATTTCGCGAGACTTCCAAGTAGATCCCTGCAACCCAACTGCCGCCTTACGACTATCCTAGACAGTTCCTTGAGGCTGAGCGGGTTTGTCTTTACATAATGAAGGAACTCGCATTTGGCATCGATCTAAAACAGAATGATCGTCAAGGTCTGATTTAAAAAGGCACACCTACAATTACTTCCCAAGTATACCCTATTTCACGAGTATCCATCGTGCTTTGACGTCTACTGAGGTGAACAGCTGATCAGCAAGTGACATTTTTGTTAGTCTGCAACGTTGGCAATAATGAATCGGGTGTAAATCTAGTAAAACTTGTTTGCAGTGTTTTGTTTTTTGTATGCAAATGAACTTTCTTAAATAGAAGAGCTTTTAGTAAGTACAAAATAAATCTGTAGTGTACAAAAAATCGAAACAAACTATGGCTCTGTTTGCCTGGCATTGACGGATCCGTCAGAATTATGTGCCTTTTGCGGATATAGGGAATTTCAGAATATTATTAGATAATTAGCTGTCATGTTACCGTAGAGGATACTCGTAAAAAAGATCGTATAAGCCATTTTCTAACAGTACCGATTTTAATGAAATTTGGATGTTAGGATACTGTGGGGTAATTGTAAGTTATGCTGCTTGATTTTTAAAAATCGAATTAGCAGTGGTCAAATTACGAGCAAAGTTTGAGATTAGGGTTGCAATATACCTATAGTGAATAGGGAATATGCATGTGATTCAAATATCGGTTATTTATTTTTAATTCCAGAATTTAAATCAATAGATTTTTTTTGAATTTCAATAGATTTAAATTAAATTATAATATGGTGTGAAACAAGTCATCGACACAAGTAGCTGAAATAACTCATCAGAGAATTCAAAAAAAGGAAGAGTTTACAAACATTATATAAGTTTAAAAAAACAACTAATCCTCATCAGTCCAATGAAAATATTCATAAATTGAAATTAGAAAACATAGTTTATAACAACAAAAACAGTTATATAGTTTAAAATAATACTTACATGATTAAATAATAACAAATAAAAATTATAGGTAATTATAAATGGTATTATATGTACAGCGAAAAAAAACTTTACTCATGCTAACCTACAAGTAACACTAACACAAAATATGAGTTTAAACTCTGGGCGCTGAAGAAAGACATTAAACGTAAACAGTGATCAGCACGTGAACAGATCACTCGAAAGCATCCACGGATATACTCCAGTCACTTTAGGTCTAAACATCCTCGGCAGTGTATTTCTAGAGAATCCACAGACCCTTTTTCGTGTCATCTTGAGACTAGAAAAAGGATGACTGTTAAAATAAGTTACCTTGATCTTTCATGAGCTCCCAGTACAAAACATCATCGATATATTTTTGATGTAGGAACAACAAATTGGTTTAGAAAACATCCACTTTGAACCTAAATTGACTGGAGTAACATCGATCTACAGACAAATTCAAGGTCACTAGCAGTCGTCGGCGCTCTACGAATCTGCACAGGTTTGGACTTGTAAACGTGATTGTAGATGACACGACAGGCATCTAACAGTTAATTCACACACAGGATTGCATTGCATACGCATTACGCATTCAGTAGCGTATACTCGTTTTTCGCGAGTGGAACCTTTTGTTTATATATTGCCTAAGATACGATGTCTGACACAGATACAGCCGACGAAGTGGTTGACATCAGCGCAACCCCACCCAAAAAAAGGGCTAAGAAGCTACATTTAAGTGCAAATGAAAAACAAATAATATTAAATATATACAAAAACCAAATTCAAGAAAAACCCGATTTGGTCGTGGACGAAGTTATATGTAAGGTAGCACATATTTCTGGAGTATGTCGGTCCAGTGTTTATAGGATCATTAAGGAATATAGGAGCACTCACTCACTTTCTGAGCCAAAACCGTATCCTGCAAGAAAAAGGATAACGGACGGAGTAGATGACTTTGACAGAACTGCCATCAGGAGGAAAGTGCATAATTTTTTCTTCCGAAATGAGATACCTACAGTAGATAAGACATTAAGATTAGTTAATGCTGATGAGGATCTTCCATCATTTAAAAGAACCACATTCCGAAAACTTTTGAAGGAACTTAATTTTCGATTCTTGAAACGGGGAAGAAACAGTATGTTAATAGAGAAAGAAGAAATTGTTGTGTGGAGAAGGGAATACCTTAGGAAGATTGGGAAGTTTCGCGATGAAAAAAGAAAAATTTACTATTTGGACGAAACGTGGGTGAATGCTGGACATACTCAAGCGAAAGTTTGGGTCGACAAATCAGTAACATCATCAAGGCAGGCTTTTCTAGACGGTCTTTCGGCTGGATTGAAAAATCCTGCAGGTAAGCTCCTTCATCTATCCGACAATTTAATTTTGATAAATTCGAGCAAATAATATGCTGTGATAGCAGATAATGTGTGATATTCTCCAAAAATGGTGCATTCGCAGTGTAGTCATTAGGAAAAAAACTTCGACCCTCTTTTAAGCGTTATTTTGAAATTTATTATCATTTTTGGGTGCAGTCAATTTGCTTTGAATGGGTTTTGAGAAGTTGCAAACTTCAATTTTCTACGTTTTTCAGTTTTGATCAGCATTCCGTGACTCTTAAATTCAGCTAAATGAACTCAATTGCCTCATTCCTTCAAATTTAATCAATCCATAGTGTAAGGAATAATTTATTTCCAGGAAAAGGCAAACGGCTGATCATTTGTCACGTAGGTAGTGAAGACGGCTTTGTTCCCGAAGCACTGTGGGCCTTTGAATCAAAAAAGACAGGGGACTATCATGAGGAGATGGACGGCAATTCCTTTGAAAATTGGTTCTCCAAAATGTTACTAAAGCTGGAGAATAACGCTGTTATTGTACTGGATAATGCCCCGTACCATTCTAGAAAAATAGAAAAAATTCCCACAATGGCAACTAAAAAAGCAAACATACAACAATGGCTGGCCTCAAAACAGATCGATTTTGATGAAACAATGGTCAAGGGTGAATTGATAAGTATAGTCAATAGACATAAATACAAATACGATTTTAAAATGATCGACGAAATGGCCAAAAAACAAAATAAAACTGTCTTGAGACTGCCACCCTACCATTGTGAGCTGAACCCTATTGAGCTGATTTGGGCCAACATAAAGCAATACGTGGCGTCGAATAATAATACTTATAAATTTTCTGATGTTAAAAATCTCTTTCACATCGCAGTCAATAGAGTTACGGCAGAGGAATGGAAAAACTGTATCCGCCACGTTCGGGAGAAGGTTGAGGTCAAAATGTGGGATTTGGACAATGTCATCGATACCCAAATTGAACCTCTAATAATTCATTTAAACGATTCAGAAGATTCAAGCTCCTCTTCTGAATGAGTGCGCACAGCTTACTTACTAATAACTAAAAAGTGTAGTTAACTCATTTGTGAATCTCTAACTGAAATTTACTGTAAAAGATAATAATTATCTTGTATGAAATTTTTGATGACTACCCATAATATCTTGATGCGGTCCTGTAATGTCTCCTGCGCCTAAACACTCACTCACGAGCAATATGCGTGTATTTGTTTGGGTTTAGTTTCTTTCTTCAGCGCCTAGAGTATAGGAAGTAAGTTGTTATACACGAAAATTAATTTAGCGGCTTTTTAGGTTCTCAACCGATTTTTTTGTTGTTGCTATAAATCTAGTCAACAAATATTTTTGGGCCATTAAAGAATATAATGAAACTAAGTTTTTCAAAGTTCATTATGGCCATATTTAAGAAAAAAAATCAGTATAGATTTATTAATAAAAAAACAATTTAATCGAAAAGATCAGATTTTTTGATTCTTTCGAAAACATCAGATTTTTTGATTCTTTCAAAAAGATCGTAAGTTTTTTTGCAACACTGATTTACAGTATGTATGGCTACAGCAAGGCACCTTAAACCATATTTTGTACTTATGCGCTATAAAATTATTAGTATTGATCAACAAAAATGGGAAAAATAGGCGGAAAATTTGAAATAACGAAACGCAACTCTACTGGCGTGACGTCACCATATCGGCAAGTGAGCAGCCAATCCTTTGCTGCTGACATTGATTGTCAGCCTATCAATTTGATCGGTTCCAAAGAATATTGGTTGATGCGGAATCCGCCATTGTGGTATCTACCTATGGTGGTGTTACGCCACTTTTTTTCGTCACTGCGAAGCGCACGAGAAATGCGGCGTTCAAGGTCGCATGTTCCTTTTCTCAACTGCCTGTTTTCTATTCTAAATCCTTCATTTGTTTATTTCATAGTGTGTATAGAGATGACTTAAAAATACGTTCTCTTTTTTTGTCAAAAAAACGCATTTTTACTTTTATCTTCAATCGTAACTTGTTAAGAAATATTAGTAGAAATTGTATGTCACAATTCCGCTTTCATATTAATACTGAGCGGGTGATTAATTATATTCTAATCACTCTTCTATGCGAAAAATCTTTGATTTTCTTGAACCCCATTTTGCAGCAAATCCTTCCGTAAAAGAGGAATACTCAAATAATTGTTCTATAGTTGTACTATTATTTGTTGACAAGTTACGATTGAAGAGAGAATGCATAAATATGCAAATAATCATTTATCGGTAAAAAAGAAACTGATAACATTGTTTTTCGGTGATCTCTATAAACATGAAATAATCAGACGAAAAGTATTAAGAACACTCCTCCAGACGAGCTGTTGGAAAAAGGGACAAGTGCCCTTAACTCAACGATATTGGCATTGCATTTTTAAATATTTAATTTAAAAAAAAAATACAGACATGTCCATGAATGAAATATGTGTTTCCGGTATGTTAACGTAAATAATGCATGCATATTCCTTATTCGCCATTACTACATTTTATTTATTAATTCAGCGATAAAGCGAGACCATGATCCTTAGACAAATCACCGGACACCCATCTTCCATATTTTTGTGCGAGGCCCGTTTTCAAACGGATACTACTGGGGAAATTTTTCAAAAACGTGTGTGCATACTTTTTACTATCTGCTGGACAAAACAAATACACTATTCACATTTTCTATATTATCGCCAATTACCTGCTCTTTCCGCATCTGCCAGGGGTCGCAGCGCATGTTACTGAGCTTAAACCCGGCGAAAATAATTATTTTGACAAGTTCAAGGTCAGCGTAACGCATTGCAAACGACAACGCATCAAAAATTATGCGCTCATCTTTGAGATTGACATCAGCCCCTAATTGAACCATCTTGGTGGCCACTGCCTTGTTGTCCATAACAATGGAGTAGTGTAGAGGTAAACCCTGCGGAATACATGAAAGGATGATGATTTGAAACATGGCTTAGGTATGTAACGGCCACTTGATAATAAATAAGATTATGTAAAATGACAATAGAGGTTGTCAGATCTAGAGTAAGCACTACATTGCTTATCGTGATCGACACCTGTAATTGCTTTTGGTGAGACTAGTATTGAACTGGCACATATCGTCGCCTTCCACACATATCAGTCAGTAGTCAGCATGAGTGGTGTGCGGACGTGTTCCGTGTGCACGGATAATTTTATAGTAAACAGTATACAAATTCAGTGTAAGTTATGTGAAACAATTTTCCATAATGTGTGTGTTAAAGTAAAAGATAATGTCACTAAGTGTATTGCCGATTGTATGAATTTGTTTTGGTTCTGTAATGACTGTAGTAATAATGCTATACAAAACCTAAAAATATCGAGGAGATTGGACAGTCTTGAACAAAAAACCAACGATGTGTTAGAACAAACCAAGGAGTGTTTCGGCGTCGTTAAGACATTATACGATAGAGCACCCAATGCCAGCGTGCAGAGTGGAGTGACGTAGTAAAAGCCAAACGACCGCCTTTGATAATTAAACCAAAAAATTCGTCACAGAACAGCGTGAAAACCAAGTTAGATGTGACCAACAAAGTCGATCCATCCCAAATAAATATAGCCGGAGTCAGAAATACAGCTAACGGTGGGATTCAGATAGAATGTGAAAACGACGAGTCGATGCAAAAACTACACGAGGCTGCCCGGAACGCGCTAGCAGATCGGTACGAGATTCAGATACCAGAGTTTAAAAAAACAAAAACTGTTATTGTTGGTGTTTATGATAAATACCTGAGGGAGATTGATATATTTATAAACAAATTGAAAGACATGTGTGGTACAAGTGAAATAACGTTTGTTAGGAAATATAAGCCTCGTAGGAAGGAACATTTTAATATGCTATTGGAGGTATCAAATGAGGCATTTAATTACTTTATTGCTCAAAAGAAATTACGCTTTGGATGGGATAGTTTTCTATTGTATGAATTTGTTAGCGTTTTAAGATGTTTTAAATGCTGGCAATACGGGCATATGGCAAATCTCTGCAAACAAGAGCAATTTACATGTCCACTATGCGCCGGCAATCATAAGGCAGATCAATGTACAAGCAGTAATAAACGTTGTAGCAACTGTGAATATATTAGCAATGTCTTAAAGATAAAAAATATAGAATATAATCATACTGTTTTTGATCGAAATTGTACTTCATATCTTCGGCAACGTATGTTCAAGAAATTTGTTTGTCCATAAATGTACAAGGGCCTAAGACGAAAAGTTGATGAATTGAAACAGCTGGTACTGGATAAGAATCCTCTTATATTATGTGTTAATGAAACCCATATTACAGAGGATTTTGAGGATAGCGAACTGAATATTAATGGCTATAGTCACTATACGTACATTGCCCATGCTGAAAGTTGTCATACAGGGGGAACGATAATTTATGCAAAAAACAATGTTACTTGTACAGTTGTAAAGAATGTCGTACGTCACGGTCATTTTTGGTTCTTATGCTTAAATGTTCAGCTAGGATTGGAAAATATAATTGTTGGATCACTGTATAGATCTCCGAACGGTAGCATGGACTTATTTTTCCAATTTTTTGAGGAATTACTGGAAGATGATTTAATTACAACTCATCAAAGTATTTTTTTGGGAGATTTTAATATTCGCTTAGAGACCGAGAACCCAAGCCAAAAAAAAAATTAATAAACATCGTATCAGATGCAGGATTTACACAAATAGTTCAAGAGTTCACTAGAATGACAAATACGTCAGCCACCCTGATTGATTTAATTGTGACTAACAATTACTTGCTTGAAGAAATCACGGGTGATTTTCCACAAATTTCAGATAATCGAATTATAGGCTGCGTATTGGATGTGCAACATGAGGTTAAAACAGAGGAAATGAAATATAAACGAAAATTTAATAAGGAAAATATTAACACTATTATAGCTGAACTCTACGGAAAGGATTGGGACTATTCAACAACAGATGTGGACCTATTATATGAAAAGTTTATGAAAAATATTACAGAAACTGTAAATAAAGTTGTACCTCTTGAAAAAACTCAAACCCGCAAACAACCGTGGATTAATAGGTTCGTAATCCAAGCCCGAAGAGACAGGGACGAAGCTTATAAAAAGTTTAAAATAACCAAATTAAATTTAGACTGGAATCTGTATAAGAAAAAAAGGAACATTTACGCTCGTGTTATTCGAAACGAAAAGAAAAAATATTATGAAATTACTATTGACCAATGCAAGGGGGATAGCAAAAAAATGTGGCAAACTTTAAAGCAAGTTGTAGGCAGCAAAAACAAGAATGTTCTGTCATATGATAATATTGAATTTGAGGAAGATGCTGGATCTGTTCAAGAAAATTTTAACAATTTTTATGCAAAAAGCATAAATGAAATAGCCGACAAAATACCAAAAGTTGCACCGACATTTCAAGAATTGCCACAGTTAAGTGATGGTCTGTCAAGCTTCAACACTATAAGCATTGATCAACTTAGAAAAAGGGTAATGGAACTTAAAAACAAGTCAACAGCGGATGATATTTGTAATGTTAAGTTTTTGAAAACGGCTTTTTGTGTACTCGGATACCCTTTGCTTCACTTGATCAATGCATCCCTTACAACAGGAAAAGTTCCAAAAGCAATAAAAACTAGTCTTATAGTGCCTATTCCAAAAGTGTCCTCACCAAATAAACCAGCACAATACCGACCCATTAACTTGTTATCAGTGATAGACAAAATCTTGGAAACCGTGGTTTGTGCGCAGTTACGGGAGTTTCTGGAGGCAAGAAGGGATTTCGAGAAAAACACTCGTGCGAGTCGGCGCTGCAGTATGTCTGTTCGAAATGGCGTTCATACATTCATGACGGGGATATTGTGTTAAGTGTATTCATCGACCTTCAACGTGCATTTGAAACTATTGATAGGAAAAGACTGATCCAGAAATTGCAGACCTGTGGGATTACAGACAGTGCACTAAAATGGTTTATGAACTACTTGAAAGACCGTTGTCATGTGACGAAGATTAATAACGTGGCGTCAAATTCAATTGATAGTGAAATTGGGTACCTCAGGGTAGTGTGTTGGGCCCGCTTTTGTTCCTACTTGACTTGACTTGAACAGGGTTTTAGTAAATACATTTCTGAGCTTATTTGCAGACGATACATTGCTTTATGCGTACGGTAAAGATTTTAGACAAGTTGTAGATACTATGAACTCAATACTGGAAATTCTGTATAACTGGTTATGTGTGAATATGCTTAAGTTGAATGTAGAAAAAACAAAATACATGGTTTTTGGGACAAAGCAGAACTGTAATACATTTTTAGAAAAGAAATTTTGTATTGAGATAGATAATATTCAAATTGAAAGTGCATCTAGTATGAAGTATTTGGGCGTAGTTTTAGATCCTCAGCTAAATTTTTCATTGCATGTTGATTATGTTAGTAAAAAAATTGGGAAAAAATAGGTTTTTTTAGGCGAATATCTGAAAGTCTTAGTCACTGGAGTCGTCTTCTTGTATATAATACCATCATATATCCACATTTTAATTATTGTTTTTCATTGTTGCTATCATGCAAAAAAACTGATATTCAAAGGCTCCAGTTACTACAAAATAAGGCTATGCGCACTATACTATTTTGTACACGTTATACGCCTATTAATTTAATGTTAAAAACCCTCGGATGGCTTTCAATATAGCAAAAGGTTGAAATGTCAAATGTCTTACTTATTTTTAAAACAAAAAATCATTTATTGCCTGAATACTTGCAGGAATATCTAATACCGAGGTCCGAGAGGCATGCATATAATATCAGGTCACGTAACACTTTTGACATAGAATTCGCTAGAACATCCCATATGCAAAAATGTCTTTTTAGTGATGGTTTGAGACTATTTAATGCATTACCTACAGAAATTAGAGAAGTGACGTCTGTAATTACATTTATTCGTAAGGTTAAGCAATTGTATCTAGATAAAATGGCATAATACAGGGTGTCCGCAAAGTTGGGGTTTTCCTTTTCAGAAACAACTACCCTTGAAATAACAAAGGTAATGTGTAGTGAAACGAGGGCGACCAAGTAAAAAAAAATAAAGGAAAAAGTACTCACTCTCCAGTTGACGAGAAGGGCTAAGTACGTCTCTGCCTGAAATCGAAAGTTATTCACCCCATTACGCGTGAACGTAGATTCGTCTGTCACCAATATGCACTTCAAAAAGTCCGGATTATTGTCATGTTGATGCAACAACCACTCACAAAACCGCACTCTTGCTGGAAAATCGTCAGGTTCAAGGGTTTGTAAACGTTGGACGTTTGCCACACTTTAGTTTTTGATACTTGCACGTCTCTAGTGCTTGTTGAGGGATTCTTGTCTACGCGATTCAGTAGTTCTTCCTCAACTTGCACCATTCGTGGTTGTCTAGGCCTACCACTGTGCCCACCTCGAAATTCCTCCAAATGGCCCGTATCCCTGACTCTCTGGACCAGGTACACAAATCTGCGGGGCCTTGGATGATGTCGTCTAGGGAAACGATCTGCATACACTCGCAACGATTCTGTATCATTTTGAAGACATTCGCCATAAATTAACAACATATCAACGAGTTCATTATTGGTGTATGAGTGTGCCATTATTATTTTTTTTTTGAAACGCAATCGATTATACGGGCTCGTTACCTCTATACGCGTGACCCTTTACCGTCGGTTGAAGGTTGTATACTGACCTGACACACTGACCCCGACCCCCGACCCAGTTCTGTCGTCGGGTTCAGCTAGTAGCCGGTACCAGTCTGAGATATCGCGGGTCGCGGCTACAGGACGGTATTAAGATATTTTTGATGTTGCAGAGCCCTTCTCGGTTCCCTTAAGACATTGGTGTATATGGTACTAAGAAAAATTGCTTATGTTTTCAAGATCTACACGTCATGTAAAGGAA